ATTTTGAGAAATATTTTTTAAGCCCAGACTAACCCATAATAATTTTGAAAAAATTTCCCAAGCCTGGAGATATTAAATTTATAATTAATGAAGGGGAAATCTTTGATTTATCAATTAGTCTATGGGTTAACTCCTAGTTATATATGCAAAAAAAAACATGTGAATTCGTAATAAGGGAAACTGGGAAAGCCTGGGCAAACAACTTATTAGAGAATCATGACAAAATCAGGTCTGCCCTAATATTATTATAAGAAATAACAAATCTTACCTCGTATTATTGGAGATAACTCCAAAAATTAAGTTATGGAGAAAAATATGGATTGAAATTGTGTTCAATGCAACAATTTTAACAAAATATTTTTTATAATACTTAATGATTTTTATACTTTTTTTTAACTATGATCAAGGTTATAATTATATTTTGATTTTATAAATTTATAAAATTTTATAAATAAATACTATTTAAAAATAAACTAAGACTGTTGGTATTTTATTGAGTAAATGTATAAAATATTAATGATAATATGAATAATTTGTAATATTTTGTAAGATATATTTAATATATTACTTTGATATCCAATACTTACATGAATATTGTAATATAATGTTATAATGAAAATATTATGTACATTTATAATTATTTTCACTAATAGCAGCTTTTTGAGTAAAATGATAAAACGAAAAATTTGTAATATTTTGTAAATAAGATATATTTAATGTACTTTGATATCCAATACTTGCATTAATATTGTAATATAAAATTATAATGAAAATATTATGTACATTTATAATAATTTTCACTAATAGCAGCTTCTTGATTAATAATTGTTTCTATATAAAATATTAATAATTTGTAATATTTTATAAATAGATATATTTATTACTTAGACATCCAATACTTGCATAGGTTGTAAAATTTTATAATGATAAATTAAAAGAATATTTAAGGTTTTAATTTGGCATCCTACAGTTGCATAGAAAACTTAAGTTATAGGATCATCTGTTTGTATATAAAAAAAATAAAAAAAATAAAATCAACAAATAAAAAAAATAAAAATAAATACGTACCGATGAAATGACGTAGCGATAACATGACGTCACGATGACGTAGTGAGGACATCGGAAAATTATAATATCGATTTTTAAATAAATAGATGGCATTATAGAGTTGAATGCAAATTGTTATTTATATTTATTATCAAAAGCATTTATTAGTAAAATTTATTAAAATATTAACTGTGATATATTATATAACTGTCAAATACATCTGTAAAAGTGGTATTATATCTAATATTTTATAACCAAATATATATAAAGTGGATTATAAACTATATGTCTACTTACTTTTTATAAAAATATTTCTTATATTTATTTGGACCTTTAAGAATTTTTAAGAAGAGGCATGGTAATTAAATTTAAAAATGAATAATATAGTTAGTGATTTTGAACTCGGCTAATTACAATATTAAATTTGTTAATTTTCAATTAATAAATGATAAAATTTATTTAATTAGGGTTACCTAATAATTTAAATAATAGGTCAATTAAGCTTAAATTGTTAATGCTAAATTAATATTTATTGAGGGATATTGATATTCTATTTTAACACAGAATTTGATTGCAAGCTGCCAGTGAAAATAAAATTTATATGTATTAATCTAATCTAATTATTAAAATAGTATTCATTTAATAAAAATTTAGATAGTCTTATTAATATTTAAATATTAAAATAAAATCTATATATTACTCAATAGAATTAAAAAAGAAATCGTTCAGGTGGTCATTAAAATTATTTTTAGTTCAAGGGGATATTAAGGAGCCATTAAAAAAATTTTTTTGCTTAAGGGGGCTTGAACCCCTGCGCACCACTCCTAGTGACGTCACTGACTATATGTAAGTAAGATAGTGATTACTCTATTGGGAATTATTCTATTTTATATTTAATTTACTCATCTACTTATTAATTAGCAATTAATACAATATTTCAAAATCAAGAACTTATCAAAGATATCAGTATATAATCTATTTTTATTTAATATTATAACACACTTTAACGGCTGGAAAAAGTATAGAAAGGAAAAGATGTACTTCTACTTATTATAGTAAATATAAAATATATCAGTAGGCTAGGACGGTTTTAATAAGGAACTATAAATATAATATATAAATAATCAAATAGTGAAATTGTTTAAGAGTGGTATAACAGTAAAAAGAATTGATAATATCTAAGGCATTGTGGTAATTTAAATGGTAAATATAGCATATCAATAATGACTGATAAACATTTAATATGTGTATTAATAAGTTAGTTATGGTATTATTGAGCAATACTTATTTGTCATAACCAGTGGCGTATCCAGGATTTTCTTATGGGGGGGGGGGATTTTTTGGGGACTTCGCCCCCAAACCACTCTTATCTGGCCTTCGGCCAGCTTTCCCCCGGCCTTCGGCCGGATCTTATGTTTTAGCTATTTCATTAAAATATTCATAATTTAATAATAATTTTATTTCTATTTTTAACTTTTATTTACTAATTCGTGCTTATGGATATTACATGCCTATTTTTTATTATTTTTAGTTGTGTATATTATATTTAATAAAGTTTTTTAAATGTAAGGTTGAATAAAAGTTAAATGTCATTTTTTTTATTTGCTTTAAAAACTAGCCTCAGCTTACAATATAAGTATAATATAATTTTTTTATTGAAAATACTAATAGTAGTATGTCAAAAATATTAATGTTGTTAAACCGCTCGTTTTGAGCCGATTTTAAAAAACGGCTAACTCAATATTTTGGCCAGAAAAAAATTAACTAAGCCTCGAAATTTTGATACTATATGTCTAGACCTTTGCTCCTTCTATGAGCAAATTGCATAATATTTTTCTGGATAAATAACTGAGTTAGCCGTTTTTAAAATTCGGCTCAAACGAGGCGTTTAACAACACTATAAAATATTGTCAAATAATTTAAAAAACAAGTTTTTTCAAACTTCTTATCAAATACAATATTATACAAATTTTTTTATTAAATACTATAATTATAATGTGATTTTTAATTTTAGTGGGAATTTTGCCAATTCATCAAGAATTTTGTTTGTCTTTGGAACCAAATCTTTGTGGATATTTAACAGAGCTAACCCATTTAGATGAGATTCGGAAGTAGTACTTCATAAATATGTTTTCAACCTTCTTAAGTTGGCAAGTCCTTTCATTCGTACATGTTATAATAGGCTAACATGGTAGAATATAAAACAACTTCAAAATATTAGGAATTTGAGCCAAGGACACCGATTGAGTGCATCAATAGTATGCTCAGGTAAAATAGCTTAACGTAGTAAAGCTTTATACTACAATTCGAATTCACTGATTAAATTTATTTCAGTATCAATCTCATAGGAGTAAAATTTTGCTAAATATTGAATTTTACCAATAGTGGCATTAGGAAACGAAGATGGATCTTTGGGTTTTAAAACTTGAATATTGCTAAAGACTTGTTTTTTTATCTAAAAACAATACTTTTATTTATGATAAAAAAGTATCTAAGAATGGGATGAAAGTAGATATTTTATAATATTCTTCAGTTGAGCCAATATTTATTTTACATCTCAATAATTGCCTAGGTGCTAGATGAGGTTTAATTAGTGTTATATCATAAAATTTAGCCTTCGATTCAACGTCTATATAAATATTATGAAAATATTCATCTGCATTCATTCTTATTGTATCTACCTGTTCATATATATTTTCCGCCAAATCAATAACCTGAACCAAATCGAAATTTGGTTTTTGTAAATTTCTACAAAGTAGTGAGCTATAGGAAAATAATTTATTGATGCAACTAGCAGCAATGATAAACTCTGATTGATCAATTGAATTCAATAATGATATCGCTTCTGACGACACATTACTTTTTTTCATGCTCAGCCTTATTTAACTTTTGTATTTTTATTTCTTCTGTTCTACAAAATCGAAGTAAAAATAAAATATTTAAAAAATTATAGATATTTGTTAATAATTAATATTGAAAATACTTATTAATTATAACTTACTACTAATTTTGAATTTAATAAAATAATTATATATAATAATAAAATAAATAACCATTTGATTTCAATCTCTTTGACTTAAAATTTATCCATTTTATTAATATTTTTGAATAATGTTAATGTACTCACAAGGAAAGGAAATTTTAATAAAATTTATTTATAAAAAATAGGTTTTATGTTGGAAAATTGATATTCAAATATTTGTAAAATTTTGATTGGGGGGGGGGGAGGGGGGGAGGGGGGGGTAAAATTTGTATTAGCTTAAAATGATATTTATAAAAACAGTCAAATTTGCGATGGGGGGATTTCCCCCCCCATTGTTTATGCGCCTGGCATAACAAAGAAATTTAGAAGAATATATTAAAATTAAAGGTAACTTATTTTATTTAACATTAATTTACTTAGAGTAAAATATAAGTAACATATGTAAGTAAAATAGTGATAAATTTACTGGGAATTATTTTATTTTATATTTAATTTACTTTTCTTAAATAGCAGTAATTAATATAATAGTTCAATAACAAGAACGTATCCAAGATCTCAGGATATAATCTATCATTTTTTATTTAGTATTTTAACTTAAACTTCATTGGCTGGAGAGAGCTATAGGAAGGAAAAGATTTACTTCTACTGATTATAATAAATAAAAAATATATTAGGATAAGCTAGGGAGGTTTTTAATTTATTGAATGTTAATAAGAATTGTTACTGGAAGAATTGTTTCCTGTAATCACTTTATTACAAAATGAAAATGACTAATAATTAACTATATTTTCCTACTAAATTATTAAATAATAGTTAGTTAATTTGTATTTGGAGGAAATATTATTATTTAAATATAGGTATATCACAAAATGTAAAAAAAAAATTTGTTACTTGAAAATACGTAAAATAGGATTGTGTTCTGACAGATGCCAATCATATTTCATTAATATATTAATATAATCGATTAAGATAAATATATTTTTTATTTTCTGCTGAACCATAATATTTCAAAAAACATGACTTCTGAAGATTTTACAAGTATATCGTTGGTCGAAGTGGATTTTATAGTTAAAAACAAGTTGCAACGTAATATTTTAACAATTCCTTTTAGGTATTGCTCAAAATTATAAAACACTGCGAGCAAGAAATTGCTGGACTTGGAGATAATATTCAAGGATTTTTAATGGGCCTTAAAGTTAAGGATAGGCTAGAAGTAACAAATTGTAGTCCAAATCCCAAAAATACTGAAAGCTCTGAAGAAAGTTTTGTTTTTACTAATTTGATTTATATCAATTTTAAATAATTAGTAAACAATTATCAAATGGATCTTATGAAGAATTTAATTAAATTAAGATTTGATACACTTCAAATAGGGTGGTATCAAAATACACCCTTAGGAAATTTTATTAATGCTGCTTTTATAGAGAATCAATTTAATTACCAAGCACAAGTTGGGGAGAGTATAGTATTGATTTATGACAATTTAAAAACTTCTCGTGGCTTTTTGGCATTGAGAGCCTATCGTCTAACACCGAAAGGTTTGCAAATTTGCTCTGAGTGTGGTGGGGACTATAGTCCAGAAAAGTCAGTATTTTTGATAAATACATAAAAAGATCTAATCTGACAATTTATATTTTAATTAAGTTTGTTAAATTTATTTTAAGATCTCATATTAAATTTTCTATTTATTTTTTAACACCACTAATCTCTAGGGTTGTGTTAATATTAAACAGAGACCTGCAGGCCCAGCCCTAAACACGGCCCAGGCTGGGCCGTATTTTAAATTTTTTAAATATACTTGGGTGAACCGGGCCTAAAAAATTTTTTTTAAATATGGCCAGGCCGGGCCTAAAAAATTTTTTTTAAAATATATTCGGGCCGGGCCTAAGATTGTTAAACCCGGGCCGGGCCTTAATATTTTTTATAAAAATTTTAACATTATGAGTTAATGGTTATAAGATTATATTATATTATAGTTATGATTAATATAATATTGGGTAATGGTTAACACACAACACCCACAGATCGATCTAATTATTAATTTCCTGCAAATTTATTCAAAGTATTAATATATTTTTTTATAATTCATATCTAATTTTTTACAACATATTTTAAATCAAATAAAGGAATATCTTAAATAAGCCCCAATATTCAAGTATTAATAATATATTTTTTATAATTCATATCTAAATTTTTAGAATATTTACCAAAACAATCAAATAAAAGAAATCATGGCACAAAATACTAATGATATAATTAATAAAATTAAATATAATATTTATTCTTTTAGAAATACAGATAATAAATTAAAATCTGAAATATGGGCTAAATTTAACATCATCATAGATGAAAATAAAAAAAACATTGGCTACGTACAATGTAAGAATTGTTCAAGTATATTATCTTATAATTATAAACATGGTACATCACATCTAAAAAGACATAAATGTGATGGTAAATCCATGAAAATTAATAAAAATTTTTTACACCTGAAAAACCAACCTATAAATGTAATATAAAATATTTAAAAATTATAAAATAAATTATATTAATATTGTGCAATTAGACTATATTTTCAAAATACTATTTATTATACATGCATTTTTTTAAATAGCGATTTATTTTTATTTTATAAATTAAATAGTAAATTAAATACAATATATTATATTCTCAAAATATTTTCCATTTGTATAAATTAAATATCAGTTTTATTTTTTTTAAATGCAATATAAAATATAGTATATGCTCAAAATATTATTACCATTTTTATGAATATTAGTTTTATTTTTATAGTAAATGCAAAAAATATAGTTATATGCTCAAAATATCCATTTTTATAAATAACAGTTTTATAATTTTTATAAATTCAATATAATATTCTCAAAATATTAGCTTTTTTCATGTATTTTTTAAATAATAAGCGATAATACTCGCTGAAAAATTTGGTAAAATACCTCATAGGTGAATTTTTTTATATACCAGTCGAATATAATTTTAAAAAATTCCGAGCCGGGCCTGAAATTTTTTTTTTTTAAATATCTGGGCCGGGCCTTAAATTTTTAAATCCGGGCCGGGCCTAAAAATTTAAAACCCCGGGGCGGGCCGTGCAAATGGTGCCTCTGCAGGTCTCTTATATTAAATATAATATCAGGGCTGATACCTTTTAAAAAAACTAATAATAAATACTATATTATTTTAATATATCTAGTATATTTATATATTTTAATTTTACATAATTCATAATGATAAATTTATGGAACTAAAGTATAATTTATTTTAAATCTTTTTATGATATTATATTAAAGGAAGGATCCAAAATATAATATTAATTTTTTTGTTATAGGGCCATCTTGTGTCAAATTAATCAAAAAACATGATTTTTGGATGACTCCTTTTGATTTTTAATTAATTTATAAAAACTGAAGTTTGTTTTACCTATAACTTGGCAAAGTTTTAATCTACTAACTTTCATATTTTTTGAAGATATCAAAGATGATACATGAAAGTTATCATGTATAGGTTTTTATTTAATGATAGATTAATAACTACAAAATTATAGATAATAAATTTAATATCAAAATGAAATACTTTTGATTAATTACTTTCAATTAACAATCAATAAAAGTATTTATGCAGTCTTTGAAGCACTAGAGATCTGTACAGGTCAGCCTACAAGCTAGTTGGATAAAAAATTTTATCAGCTAGGCAGAGGGCTCCTCTTGTAACATATTTAGTGAAGTTTCTAAAATATAATTTAGGATATTTTCTTTATGAATATTTGTACATAATGGTCAGATAACATAAAAATCTTAACAGGCCAGGCAAATATATGAATTTTATTCTATTGAATTTTTTTAAGAAATATTTTTACAATCCCTATTTTTAAAAATTTATTTTATGGCATAAAACCAATGTTTTAATAGTAATTTTTTAAAACTTTTTATAATTTTATACCCAGCTTATTCCATAATTATTCATCCTGGCTTTTGGACAACCAGGTCAAAATTTTCAAATTGCTGGAGAAATTTGGTAATAATGTTTATTTTGTGGGAAAAATTAGTGTTGTTAAATATTTCGGTAACTAACGGTATCTCGGGGAAATTTTCGATATTATTATTTTTTTATTGTTTTTTTTAAAATATTTTTTTTATTGTTTTTTTTTAAATATTTTTTTTATTATTTTTTTTTATTTATTTTTTTATTTTTATTTATTTTTTTTATTAATAAATAAAAAAATAGATAAAACTAGATATTCATAATATACTAGAGAATTAAGATTTTTTCTTGAAATTTTCAATTATTTAAGATTCTATTTAAGATTTATCCTTAAAATTTTCAATTATTTAAGATTCATTTAAAATTTTTCAAATACTAGATATTTAAGATTTTTTTCTTAAAATTTAAATTTTCTAAAACTATATAATCATAATATACTTTTTCTTGAAATTTTCAATTATTTAAGATTCATTCTAAAAATTTTCAATTTAATTTAAAATTTTGAATCAAATACTAAATATTTAAGATAAAAATATAATCATAATATACTAGAGAATTAAAATTTTTTCTTGAAATTTTCAATCAAATTCTAGATAAATAACCAATTTTTTGAATAAACACTGATAATATAGTTATTTATATATATTTTTTTCTTAAAATTTTCAATCAAATTCTAGATAATTAACCAATTTATTTCAATAAACAATGATAATATAGATATATATAATTTTAAGGAAAAACAAAAATAGTTTTATACATATTTATATCATTTAAAAATTTAATTAATTTATTTAAATTGGACATATTTTTAATTTTGCGAAAATAACTGTATTGACATATATACAAATGAGTTGAAAATTTTTTTCCATTTCTGGGTATGCTTGCCTTAAGATCCCTCCATAAACGCTCAATGCGTTGAGTATGGGTTGATATATCATTAGGTTCTACAAAATTTTGACTGATTCACTGAGTAATGGTCATAGCCATTTTCATTTAGATTGTTATAACTTAACAAATATTAAATTTTGAGATTTATCTATATTTAAATTACCCCTTCCATTTGTCCGTCATTATAGTTGAATCAGTATGGACATGTTTGCTGATTATACCTAGAAGGGTATCTTTATCTCTTTTTTCTGTATGAGAAATAAAAAAATTCCCATCATTTCTTGAAATTCCTCCTACAACCCAAATGGCATTAGATTTTAGAATCCTCCCTGTGTTATTTTTCCTTTTAAAAATATGGGATTCATCTATTTCAATCACATGCCCAGGGCCCCCTATTTTGTCAAAATTAATTGCCTGTGTATGGCAGAAAATCTTTCTAAATATAGCATACCTAAAGATACTTATCGACAAATTTTACAAATAAATATATACCATTTTCCAATGGTACATTGTGCTAACTCTATTAAAGGAAGGCTGTCGGATATTGACGTCAAGGACACAAAAAGATATATTAGATGTATAAATTTGTTAACAGGGATATTAACATTTTCAAATATAGAGCCTAATTAATAAAATAAATTTAAAAAATAATATATTGTTAAACCCTTCCATATAGAATTGCTGCTTGTACATATTTTGCATCTTACTCTATAAGATGCTGCATTTCTCTCCATTATCATATTATTATTACAACACGTGTGATTATCTAGAAGTTCGTGGTCTTTTAAAAAAGCTATGGTTCTTGTATAACAATTTATGATATATGTAAAAATAAGATATTCCATTATAATATTATAATTATGGTCTTTTAAAAAAGCTATAATTAAAAATAACAATAAATTAAAAATAACAACAATAAATTAAAAATAAATAAAAAATAAATTTATAATGAAAAATTTCCCCGAGATACCGTTAGTTACCAATATTTCGATTGGAGTCGATTTTTAAAAATGGCTAATTCAAGATTTTAGCCACAAAAATATTACCTAAGTCTTGAAATTTCGCTAATAGATGTCAAAACCTTTGTGTCGCCTATGGGAAAAATCTTCAGGCTTATTTAATACATTTCTGAATATAATATTGAGTTAGCCATTTTTAAAAAGTAGCTCAAAATGAGCCGTTTAACAACACTAGGAGAAATGTGAAAATTGAGGCAGAAATTTTTTTGAACCTTTGGCCTGGTTTTAGAAATGTTAGTTACCCCCCCCCCCCCCCCCCCACCACGATAATTCTTATAATGACTTTTTATAGATATTAACAAAGTTAGTAATGTTTTGTAATATTTCTCAAAATAGGTAATAGATACATGCTCACATATTTTTTCTTAGTATGAGGATTTATTGTTACTATGAAAAAATTATAGCCATTTCTCCAATACTTTTAGATTATTTATTTTGGCATTAAATCATAAAAAAATAGAGAGCATAACAATCTCCTCAAACAAGATATCAATATCTAGCGCTATTATTAGTATATTTATCAAATTACAATTGATAGTTTTTGTTCTTAGATCATAACATTTGTACTTTTTTGAATAAAATTATTAAAATCAAAGTTTGATTACTACTAATTGTTTTAGCAAAAAATATCTGCTTCATTTAAAAACCCTTAATTAGGGCAACAATTAAGCAATTAAAAATGACATTTTTAACAAAAGAACTGTAAAATTTATTATCAATTTTTGTATAAATATTATCATACCTGTAACATAATTTTGTGAATATGTATTAACAATTGAATATTAAAAGCATGTAGATTTCCTAAACACCACCAATTCATTTTCGAAAAATAATTTCAAAATATTTGGACAGATTTTATAATTCCCATTTAAAAATATCTTTTAAGAGGTTTGATATTTTAAATAATATCAATAGCGGGTATTAGTGATGACTATCTGATAGTGACATGCCATCTCATATCATACGGGGTGCCTATGCTTGACATTTGTTGAAATAAGAATTAATTAATGATTGTTTCTTCATAATTCAAAAATATTGAGGAGTTATTCAATGCTATGTTTTAAATAACTGGTTATAATGATAATGAATTGCTTTTGCTCAAAGTGATATATAATAAATAAAATAATAATTGCCTTATGGAAATAAATTCAATATAATTTATAATTATTTAAATGAATATAATGATAATTTTATTAAGAGAAATGAGATTCGATCTCAAGGAAATATACTTCAGTCCAGATAAAATGTTCTTATCCTAATTCCTAAAATTAAGTATGACAAACACATGTTTATTATGATGTGTTATTATTGGATAAAAGATATTATGAAGAAGGAAATTAACTTTAACGCACTAGATATGTTTTTTGAAAAAAAATTAAAATTTATTTTCAAATTGTTTCTCAAAATTATTAATTATAAATAGATTTTAATGTGGGAGTCTCCCACTGATGGGGTGAGACCTGGCAACCTGCTTGCGGGCTGTGCGGATAGGTCTCCTTAAAAAAAATATAAATAGTTTTATTGATTGATAATATAACGAAATTTTAATAAAATAATCTATGCTCTATATTTTAGGGATCTGTGCAGCTTGATCTACAGCCTAACCTCATTACAAAGGCTTGTCCCCATGTTAGGCATGGAAAATGTTGCAATAGGAACCTTTTAGATCATGTATATAATAAAATTTAAGGAACCATTTAAACGAATAATTTTTAAAAAAATGTCATCTATAGTTTAAAAAATATCTCTTTTACTAGTTTTTGTCGATTTATCCTACGTTCGTAAAGACCCTTCTTTAATTTTTTTATATTGATATAGAACGATAATAGTAATGCTTATTTAAAATTCGATTAAAATCGAAATTAACTCTAAAAGATACGCGATACGCTTTATTTTAATACTAAATTTATTAGTTATAAGCTCGTTTTTTATTCAATCATTAATTAAATGAAAACCATTACTCATAGAACAGGCCATTTTTACCTATGATATCTAAAAGTATAGGTTAAAATTTTACCCAAATTACAGGAAATTTAGAAAAAGATTAGGAATTTAAAAATATCTGTAGGTCATAAATATTACCATATTTTATATAAGATTATTAACTTTTGAGGAATAAAAAAAATTCTTAAGTTTACCAATACCACTTTACATAGGTCGATCCGATATTGTCAATGATTTTCGGTTCAACATTAATCTGATTTTTTTCGTTATACATATTTATTATATTTAATTTTTTAATGTCCTTCTTCTTTAGTTACCACCATTTATAACTACCATGGCCATAACCCAAGTCATTTAAAATATACTACTACAAATTTTAATTAACTTATTTTAGACGTATTTATTCAATTATATTCATCCCTATAAAAATATTTAAAGATTGTTAAATCATTTATTTATATAGTAAAATCATTTAATCATTTTGTTGTTCCAAAAGTATTTTTATCTTGTAGAAAGTAGTATCCCATCTAGTCTATTCATTATTAATGTAAATTGTTACAATTTTTTTTATAAATTATTTAGTTTTAAAAAGCATTCTTATAAAAATATATTATGTGTTTTCTTATTTTTTTTAATCATATTGTTAAATATTTAGCTCGTTATTTTAAATTTATTAATTCAATTCTTAAATAAAAAAATTAATATCGATGCTGGAAAAATTTTATATTAGGATGCATCTAAAAATTTAAGAATATTGGCCAATAGCCTATATTTAAAAAAAGACATACAACTGACCCGATCCGAAAAAAAATATTGGTATATATATATCCCTATAATATAGACTTAATTATTTGTGATAATGCATCAAATATTGCCTTGATCACAGGAAGCGGAAAATTAATTTTTTTACTAATGGTTTATAGAATTATTTCGCATAAAAATCAATGTAAATATCAGATCAGATATCAAATGAATATTATGAATATCGGTTCAAACTTGTGAAAAGTGAATTGTTACAATCCTATCTTATAATTTTGATCAAATTATATTAGTATTAATAAATAGATGAATATTATATCAGTATAAATTGTTTAGGCCACTATTAATAAAGATGTTCATTATAGTTTTACTAATTTTTTTTTACTTTAAAATATCAAGTATTCAATCCCCTTTAATGCTACATAACTAGTGTAACTTCTTTTAACAATAATATTTGAAAATTTGATAAAAAATATTTTTTTTTAGTTATAAGAACTAATATTGCCACATTAGATGTTTCACACATTAGGTATTTTTTTTATTAGATCTAGAAATTTAAATATAAAAAAGCAATTTTCTTACAACCTCTATCACAAATTATTATGACATTTATTTATTGCATTTTAAGAATTCAAAAGTTCAAAATCAATTACGACTCCTTATTTCAAGAAATTCCCGTTTATATCAAGACATCTAATTTAACAAATGTTCTTTTGTCTCAATTAGAAACCAATTTCAAACTAGAAGACAAATTCCCTTCTAAACGCATGTTAGACCTAGATTTCATCCCCGTTTTGGATTACAATTTGAGAACTATGATGTTAAATTTGGATGACATCAATCAAGAAAACAATAAATTGAACATGTACTATCGTCAAAATGCTAAGCAACTCAATCAAAAGCAACAGTACATTGCGAAAAGAGTAATTAAGGAACATTTTTGTTTTTTATACTTTAACCATTAATTAATGATTCTCATAAAAAAAATTAATAAAATGTTCAATGTTTTTCTAAAACTAAATAACGAATCCTCGCTTATTAGAAGTCAATTTAAATAATAATGGAATATGTTAAGGATCTCATGATGATGCAGAAAATGCTAACCAGTTATAAAATTTACAGGTAGATTATTAAAACACCCACTAATGAACTGACTATTCCTCACTAAATATAACCCATATAAAGTATTAACGTAGCGAGAAAAATGTGCAGGTATATTATATACTTAATACCTGATTCCATTGAGTCCGATCACCAGAGTTGTTAAACCGTACTTTTAAAAGTAGCGTGCTATAGCTATTTGTCAAATAATATTAGCTACTATTTTTAAAAGTAAGTAGCTTTGGCTACTATTTTTAAAAGTAGCTTTGGATATTTTTAAAAGTAGCTTTGGCTACTTTTTATAAAAAAAATTAGAAATAAATTTGTTTTATTTTTTGCTTATAATATAATTGCATAGTATGTAATACATAAAAATCAACATTTATAAATATTTACATATAATTAGTTTTGATCATATCTCTCAACATAAGCACTTGAGCGCAAGGCAGAATTTAATTTTATGTAATATTTTTAATATAAGAAAAATTATCAAAAATACTCATTTGTATTTTTAGATTTAAAAAATGCGTCTAGAGGATTTTCTATTATATTACTTTATTTTCAAAAAATAATCAATGGAAGTCGTTTTTATGGTTCTAACTAGGCCATCTTTGTCTGCTATCTCAATCAGTAGTGTCTGACAACAAAAAATTGTTGTTCCAGAGGATATAGTTTTAATCGTCATAATAAATGATGGATTATCAACCAATGACATTGACTGAATTTCAATTATAAAATCGACAATAACTTTATCAGCCAGTTTCTGAGAAATATTGGCATGTGCAATATTTATTATTAATCAATTTAGCATGAATTGAATTGGTCTTTTTGAATGTAGTCTTCCCTATAACAAAACTATTAAGATGTTTTTCTATATCTTTAAAACGGTTGGCATGAACATTTTTATAAAATAAAAATACTTTTAGAATTTTAAAATGACTATTGCCTTTAGGTGTTTTTTGAGATAGCTACATTTGAGGATATATTTTTTTACAGTTTGAACAGATAAATTTCCACTTTTTGTTTTACATTAATTTGCAAATATTTTTAAATTTTGGAATGGAAAATTTGTATTATTGTTATCAAGAAAATTTTCTTCCAGGGTTCCATTTCATTAATATCATAATTGTTTGACTCACTTACATCGATTTGAATACCCATTTGCTAAGACATTTTAAATAATTTACACTAGTTGATTTAGGTTTTTATAATACAAATTGAAAATATAAATTACATATTGAAAATATAAATTTCAATTTCAAAATAAATTATAATTAATTATGATATTATATTTAAATTTTCATGTTTATAGTTATATTATATTTAAAAAAATAGCTAAGCAGCGCGCTATTTAGCTACTTTCAAAAAAAAGGAACGCGCTAAACAAATAAATATTTGGGGAAAAAGTAGCGCGCTATTAGCTATAGCTACCAAAAAAGATAGAGTGCTACGAGTTACTTTAATAACTCTGCCGACCACCCATGATTTTTAGCTTACATTATTTTTCAAATTCAATATTAATATATGACATTAATTAAAGTAAAAATTTATTTAGAGTTTAATTTTTTAAATAAGGAAAATATAGTTTTAAAAATTGTCACCTTATGCATAGAATTAGAGGTGTGCGATGGGCAATGATTTAACTGGAACTCCCGCCAATTGCTTAAAAAAATTTAGCTTGCTCTCCCATCTATGGTTTATTTTTAATATTTGTTTGACCTGTCCGCTTTATATTTAGAAATTATCTCATTGGTTAGTTTGGTTCTTTGTTTAATTAAACTTATAAAATATGCAACAATATGAAATAAAATGTTTATTAAATATAAGCTCGTACTAATTTCGCCAGAAAAATATTTTTAACCCGACCACCTAATGTTTAAAATTTAACCTACTCATTGCATACCTCTCTTGTGTAATAGTTTTTGGATGAAATATTGAGTAAATCTGCTCAAATCGGTTTAACAACACTAGTTGCAGTTAGGCCTTCGGTGATTTAAGAAAATTTTAAAATTGCCAGGCGAAAATGAGATATTTAGCATAGTAGATAGAGCATATTAAATTTTGTTAATTATATTGTTTATTTTAGAATAATACAGTTTTTGATGTTTAATTTTTAAATTAAATATTTTAATAGGTTAAATAATAAGAGGGGTTAAATATCAATGATGTGTAGTATAATTTTTTTGGTAATTTGCCGGTACCATTTTAAACGTACATTACCATTTTCTGAATCATCAGGAAATCCTAAATAATATTATCTTATTTTTTTAAATTGGCTTCTTCTATTAGCGAGTACCTAAAAAATACGAGTCCAATATTTGCATTGATTCATCAAATATTCGATTCGAAAATTAAATTCCTTAAAAATATAAATGGAAAAATCTTAAAATTTTTTGAATGAATCTTTGAATATTTTTTCTTTAAATTTGTGATTTCCATATTGAAAATTTCTTGTCCATGAAAATTTAAAAGGTTTATTTATAAAAGATTTTATAAAAAACATATTTGGAAACTTAGGTATATAATTGATCAAAAATCTTTCTCCTTTATAAAAATCTTAAGGATTTTTTTTCAAGATCTGGAAAAATTAGATTATTAGAATTTAAAAAGTGATTTATAGATGTAGAAATAAAATAAAAAAATAAATGTTCTGTAAGATACTACATGTTAAATACTTACAAATAATTTTAAATATTTATGAATAAGTTTTAATATTTAATAACTCAAATATATATTATAAATTGAATAATATGAAAAAATCAATTATACGAATAATTCGATTGATTAATAAATGAAAAATTATTCGACGAATAATATATTTTCCTTATCCATATTCGATTCGAATAATTTTTTTATTCATATTCGGAAATTACGAATCGAATAACGAATAATTCTTTTTAGGTATATTAGCGACGATTTATAAAGATTCTTATTTTAATCAAAAAAGTGTTTTTTAAAATATGTTTTTAATAATTTACCGGTAGTTTCAATTTTTATTTTATTTTTTAAATTGGTCCATTATTTAGGATTGGTAGTTTATGAAATTTATTGCTATATCTTCTACATTTATAAAATTTTAAATAACTCCTTTTAGGAGATTGAAAATAAATCAAGAGAACTCAGTGGCCTCCCACCCTTACCTGATGAAGACATAGACAAATTATTTAAACCCTTTCAACCGCCACAGCGATTAGATTCGATCATGATTTCGGATCAATTAGTCGAATCAATCAATAATATTAATCGATATTTGACCCAAGGCATGGCTAAGCTTCTTGTAACTGATGCGCTAAAAGAGAAATCCCAATAAGATAGAAATTTATTATTTGTTAAACTTCATGATATTTTTTATGATAAACGGAATAAAAAATTTAAAAATAGTTTTTTATTATGTTATTATAGAAAAATACTAATTTTATAACAATTATAGTAAATTAATTTTCAGGTTGCTTTTTTATACTTTTACTTTCTTATATTTCATATCATAATTAAGAGAAACATTGATAAACCACGGAAAAAAAATTTCTGCAGACAATATTGAAAATTTATTTTTATTTAAAAGATATTGTTATAAATTTCATATACTAATTTATATCAGAGACCAGCAGATGTTAAATTTTTGAAGCAACCAAATTATCTCCCCTTTCAGGCCTGACCTTGTTCAATTTTATTATTTTTAAGTCTGGACTTTTAAAATTTCGATATTACGGATCTTCCTAAACTTTTATTTGGGCATTTTAAATAATTTTGGTTGTTTATAATTAAAATCGTATTTTAGGCCTCTGGTCTGGGTTTTGTAATTCTTTATAAGCCTGACAAAATTATAATATTTGCTTCCCTTCCGGGCCAGGAGCCGACAGGTGTCACTACTTATTACATATGTACTAATCAGTCACATAGTGAATTTTCTGATCTATTTTACCGCGTAAATTATTTTGGCGCGAAAATTTTAATTGTATTTTATAAGTAACATTCTTTTTATATAAAAATCATTTTTTTAAATAGAAATTCTTATATTTATTTAAAGTGCGAGTATTTAATGTCAGCTGTTCCCTATATTTCAAAATTGATATTTTTCGTAATTTTTAATTACATTTTTTTAATATTAAACTTTGATATTATTTTTCAAAAAAAATATGAACCAGATAACTAAAATATTCCTATATTCTTTTCCGTTTTTATATTTAAAAAAAATTTAATTAAAATTTTTTTAATTGATAATATATGTATGTTACTAATAAGACACTAATATGATTTCATCATATGATTATTTTTTTGATGACAGTTTTTTTGAAGATGGGCACTATAATGAGGATGATAATTCAACATTTTCAGATAATTTTACTATTATATAAATAGAAGAAGAGATATAATATGGAAGGAAAAAAATTTAAAAATCCCTAAAATTTATTTAAAAAGCGAGATACTGGCTTTACATACTCCCTATCAATGTTTATCATATTTTTTGAATGATAATTTCCTAGATTTAGTAGTTCTTGCAACAAAATATGCAGCAATAAAAAATATTAACAACTATAAAAATTTCTATAACTGAGCTAAGGAAATTCATTGGGATTAATATTCTCTTCTCCAATTACCATCCATAAGAGACTATTGGAAAGATGTAATTGGCAATGATCTTAAGACGATACTATCACTAAATTTGAAAGCATCGATCCATTCTTCATTTTAATGACAATAATAATTCTATAGCAAAAGATCAACCAGGCCATAATAGGCTTATAAAAGTAGTCTCAATTGTGAAACACTTTCAAGATAGGTTTCGTACAATTCCTAAAGAGGAATGCTTATCAATCGATGAGCAAATTTGCTCAACTAAAGCTCGTAAAAACAATATATGCCAATGAAACCTCATAAATGGGGCTTTAAATTCTTCATTCTATGCGGTGTATCAGTATTTGCCTATGATTTTGAATTATATTCTGGGCAGGAAAATGATTCTGAAAAAAGATCAACAACAGAACCATAATCGTCAAAGGTGCAAAATCTACTATGTAAAGGCGTTACATATGTAAAATGCTTGAAATGTCAATGCGCACTATGTTTCCATGCAAATAGACAGTTTTATTTTATTTCATACCAATATATAATATACAATAAATTGTTTGTTAAATACAATTTGTGGCTTATATGCAACATACATTATTATGGTCAAAATAAAAAAAATAGAAAAATAAAAAAAAATTTATTTGGTCATTTATTGATTAATATGTCAAAGGGAATACCTGAGAATTTTTTCTAACTTATTGCAAACATCATGTGGTAAATGGTTTTGATCGAGGCATATACAGTTCCATTATATTATTTATTTCTCAAATATTTATTAAAAATTACTAGTTTTTTCGGTATAGCAAAATTGTTAGTATTTTATTTATTTTACCAATATAATTAATAATTTGATTTTAAGGTTTAGTATTCACTTAAATATATCTTTTTTTCGGTATCTAAATTAATTTATTAGTAAATATATTTCTTCCCCTTGTTTTAAATTACGAGTAAAATAAATTAATTGATTTTATTAATTATTTAATTAGGAAATATTTATTTAATTACAAGAAACATAAATAGTTTTTCTTTTAAATTAATAATTCGTCGGGGTTTGATGTCGAATTTTTTAAATTGTACAGGGAGGCGTTTTTAAAATGTATATCGTTTATTTTTAACAAATTAACACGTATAATTTTTTTTCGGATTGATACTGCACATAAGACATGGAAAATACAAAATATCCAAAAGAATAGCTATCTAGGACTATATCAAGATGTTATTCAACCAATAGCGGAGACAGAATTATGATCTTTCAATAGAACGTCTTAATGAACTAGAAGATAATATATTTCCTCACAAAACTAAATGGAGGCAGTTATTTAGTTGCCATCTTCAAAAATAAAGATGATCCACATATTTGTAATAATTAAAGAAGCATGAAACTAATACCCACTGTCTAAAACTACGATAAAATTAGTAAAAAAAGTTTTTTAAGTCCAACGACTAACATAATCCACAAGATTAGATAAATGTGAAAAATACAGGGAAAGAAACCATAACCAATGGTTTTTCTCGATTTAGAGAAAACTTTCAATAGATTCCTAACAAATTTATATGATGATGTTTTACACGCAGATACCTGAAAATATATTATAATCCAGGACATTTTGAAAGCTGATTAGAAAAATGAAATGACTCAAGTAGATGGAAAAATTAATCAAGAGTGTTTTTTGACAAAATAATTCCACATAAAATAAAGGGGAGAATACAGTTCAGTAGAGATGAGAATGCTGTGATAGTTGAGGTAAAGAGGATAAAATACTAAATTTACTAGGAAGTTTAAAAGTAGAACCCATAAAATCAAAAATCAGACTAAGATGGTATGGACTTACGATGAGAGGTTTCGAAAACTAGAAACAAGTTAAGAGTTTAGAAATGATGGGTAAACAGAAGAGAGGCAGGTCAAAAATTCAAAGTCCATAAAGTAAGGGCCAATATTAAAACATAAATTGTATGAATAATAAATGGAAAGAAATATTGTTGAAAAGGTGAAAGCTTATAAAATTAGTAATCATACATAAAGGCATAAGCAGAGTTGGGCAGGTCCTTCGGAAAGATAAAATACTATAATCTTTTTCAAAATATAAAAGATTCTTATATCTTTTCTCGAATTAGAGTATCTTAAATACAAGATACTTTTAAATTATCATTACCAATTAAGTGAAAGTAGTTTATAAAATACAGTTTTTATTATTTATATGAGAAGAACATAACATACTCATATAAAAAAATGAATATTTAGAATAATTAATAAAATATTTAATGATGAGTTAATTATAATAATCAGGCATTTTAATATTAATAATAGCTCATTCTTAGCATTGATAAGGAAGAGAGACTAGTATTTTAAGAGTTGAAATATTGATTTGCAAAAGAGTATTTAAAATATATTCATTTTTTATAAGATAATCAAATTTTTCAATGATCATTTAACCTTTGACGAAGGTATAGCAATATTATATTTACAAAAAATTTTCTTAATGGAAGGATAATAATTAAGCATTTATAATGTATTTCGACTTTCTTTAATATAATTGAAAACCTCCAGTTTCAATGTTATCTGTATTATTGATCTCAACAACATTTGTTCACCAAAAGAAAAATAATCATCATTTTCTTTAGTAGATGTTAAATAGATTGACTCTGGTACTATATCTAGGGTTTCTTTTATTAATATATTTTAAAAGTATTTTTTTTATCATCCGACTCAATCCATAAATACTTAAAATATGAAAAAAGTCTCGTTATATTCAAATCATAGGAAAATATTTTCTTAAAATTTTTGCTCATACTATCTTGGGCAGTTTTTAATAAAGGTAGACAATATTGTAAACTTGTATTTTTAAGATGCCCATTTTAATCATATATAAATAATATACTTTAATATGTTTAACAAAATTTGTGTTTAAGCCTTTATCATTTTTTTGTTTATAAAGGTTTTACATCTAGCCTATACAATGTTTTTTTAACTTTTATTTTTAAAAATTTCCATATAAAATTTTAAGATTGGGATTTGATTCACGTGTTATTTCCATAATTTAAATTTCACTACCTTCTTCACTAACATGAGTGTTAATTATCCTACAAATTAAAAAATATTATATAAAATTGGTAATAATATTCTATCGAGTTATTTGGTGTTGTTATTTTTTATCTATCTACCTTAATATAAGTTGTAAATTTCCTTGCTAATTTTGATTGTCATTATATTTAAAATTTGCTGGAAAAAAATAAGGAAATTAATACAAGATTCTTGAAGAAAATAAGATATATACTGGGATATTAAATTTTAAACATGAATATTAAAAAGAATCTATCGTTTGTCAAGAAAATGAAAAAAATTCAAGATTCTTTTTAGAATAAAGGATCTTAGATATAGATACTATCTTGTTAAAAATGTCAAAAAGATGTATAAGAGACTAAAGGATCTTGTATCTTAGATACAAGTATTCGCGGTACTGCCCCTCTGGGCATAAGATACAATTATAATAAAATATATCAGAAACCTTCAGGCCAGGGTACACGGGCTGGGTCGTATAATTTTTTTTAACACCTGGACTGAGCCAAAAAAAATTAAAAAATAATACTATGGCCGAATATTTTAAATATCCATTATCTATAAAAAAAAAATCTGGGCTGGGTCTGAAAATATAAAACCAGCCGTGCCAAAAAAATTCTTTAAAAAAAATCTCAGCCTGACCAAAAATTTTTTTTAATAATCCGGGTCGTGCAAATAAATGGTATCTTTGCAGGTTTTGATAAATATCAGAGACCTGCAGAGGTACCATTTGCACAGCCCGGCCCAGATTTTTTTATAATATATTATATTTATCTTTGATTTTTTTTGCTTTCAAATATTTGGTTTTAAAAT